GGGGGGCCAGCCAATGGCCACTGGGAGTCTGGTACTGTGCTGAGATGTTCCAGTCTGATAGCTTCTGCCTGAGGGACATTTCAAGTTCCATAGCAGCTCAGTTATCAGCAGCACACACGTAGTCCTGAAAGGACCGAGAGTTCTGCCTCTACTGCAGGAAGCAGCCGGGTGGTAAAGCCTCTTGGCAGCACTGCCGGGCCCCTGGTTAGTACTTTGATTGGCACAGAGCGCTTCTCACACCTTATTTCTGATGACCCTCTTGGTGTTGGCAGGACGTGGGTGTGGGATATTAGCAGCCCCAATTTTCGAATGAAGACACTGAGTCAAGAAAGATGAAAGGACTGGCTCAGGGGTCACATAGTACTGCTCTGAGGTGGAGAGACAGCCTAGCCAGGTGGTAAGGCAGGAGGAGGACTGTGTGGGCTCAAATCCCATCTCATCACTCACTTGCTGTGGACCTCAGGAGGTTTCTTAATGTGCCTCAGTGTCCTCATCTTCAATGGGGAAAATACTCTCAACCTGACAGGGTTGTTGTGGGGATTAGCTTGATACATGCAAGCATTGCAAAGTACCTGCCTCATTTCATAAATGTTCACTCTGTGTTGGCCACTGCCATCACCACCATCACATCATCATCATCATCATCATCATCATCATCATCATCATCATCATCATCATCATCATCATCATCATCATCATCATCATCATCATCATCATCATCATCATCATCATCTTTCTGGAGACTGAAGAGCAGCCAGAGGCACGTGCATGCTCAAGATTCTGGCTGGGGGCAGTTGTCTGCCTAGAGCCATGCAAGACTCAGAGGCAGGAAGGGAGGGAAGCCAGACTCCCAACTTAAATACCAGATGGGGCAAGGGCCAGGATGACCAGCATTGAGGCTAGCCCTGAACTCGCCCTGGGGGCATCAGGACCTCAAGCAGTGGGTGCAATGAGACTGGCTCCAGTGCAGAGAATGGTGATAACAATGGCCAAGTGGGCAGCGGAGTAGGTCTGGTGGGTGTAAGATGTAGGGAAGGACATTGGAGTTGGGTTGGGTTTAGGAGCTCATACCCACCCACTGTCCCTACTGGACTTGACCAGAGGGATGGGGACATGACTCAGCTGTTACCAGCTTCCAGGACTCCTTGAGACTTGACCTGAAATTGGTGGCCAGTGAAGAAGCCTTGGAGAGTACCCTGGCCCCTCTGGCATGCTCTTGCACTGCATTAGTACTTGCCTAGATGTTGGGCTGAGACATCTGTGCAGGATAGATAAATCCCTTGTGCTGGGCTCTCTTGGGGAGCACACCGAGTGGTGCCGACACAACTGTGTTGGAAGTTCCTTCTGCTCACAGCTGCCCAGACCCCTGCCACCCTGGGCACCACTTCCCACACCACCATCCATTTATGTCTCCCTGTTGCTGCCTCAGGACTCAGAGATCCGAAACAATGCTGCCAACTACCTCCCCCAGATCAGCCAGCTTCTCAACCATGTGCCACGCCAGATGCTGCTGCTCTTCAAGACCAATGACCTCCTGCGTGGCATCGAGGCCTCCCTTGGCATCCGCGCCAGTGCCAGCTCCTTCCTCAACATGTCACGCTGCTGCATCAGGGCGCTGGCCAAGTGAGTGTGGGCTTCTGCTTCTCCTTTCCTCTCAGCTCCCTGGCCTGCCCAGGGAACCTACTCACCTCCACTTTTCCCCACTGGTCCACAGTGTCCTGCAGGAGCTTCCCAATCTCAAGATCTCCTTGTAGGAAAAGTTAAGGGCAGATAATAGCTGCAGAGAATTCACTGATGCTTCCAAGCAGGGTTTTGAGGGGTGGTCCAGAAACATCCTGTATTTGTTAAATGGTAGATTCTGGGACCTCATCCTTCTAATCCAGCTTTCTAGGCAATTCTTACCCTTAGTAAAGTTTGGAATGTTTTCTGAGCATCTCAGCACCCTCTAACAGTCTTTAGGCTTGAGATCAAGAAGTCTCTATCTAGCCCTGGAATTGGCTCCCTATGGCTGGCCAGGCAAGTGGACCAGTGTCCTTTTTCCTATAGGTGATGATGATTCAGGGAAGTATGGCCAGTAGGCCTTGGGATCTCAGGTGTTTTTAGATGCCTTAGGACCATTGGGATATTAATTAGGAAGACTAATGTGCTTTCCAAGGAAATAGATCCAGAGGAGTGAGGGTTCGAGACCTCTCAGCTGAGAGCAGTGAATACCTCAGAAGAGCCACACTCTGGCTGAATATTCCCACCTAAGAGAGGAGGGTTGGATTGCTATTAACTTCTAGCTCATCCATCTGGGCCTGGGAACTGGTCATTCTGAAAAATTATCTGGTTCAGGGAGATTTGACCACATATGTCATGGACCCACTGTCAAATGTCAGGTTAGTTTATAGCAAGATATATTATTGCACACTGAAGGGGCTGACTGATTATTTTTCCTCTGTGGATTCAGGAAATGAAGTCTTGAATAGGTCATCATCATAAACAGTTTTCATCCTGTCCTTCTGTTGGTGTAGAAAGGATTGAGCTAGGCTGAATCCATAATGGCCTTGGCCTCTCAGGACCACCTGCTCAAGTTTCCAAGTAATTCTTATCCTCAGAAAGTTTGGAAGCCAGCAGGTGGTATAGTGGTTAAGGCACTGAACTCCCACATGGCTGACTGTGGTTCACATCCTGGACCTAGTGGATTGACCATCATGCTGTGCATGTGTGCCTTTGTGCCCAAAATCCCAGTAGGAAAATAGAGGAGAAGGGATTGTAGTGTGGCCATCCCCCTGGGGGGTGATTTCTCACTTTTCCTCTCACTGTCTTTCTCTGTCTCTCTCCTCTCCAATGAGTGCCTGTGCCTCATGGCAACAATCTTAAAAAGTAAATAAATAAAACGTTTGGAAAGGTTTTGATTATATTTGAGTCTGGGGGATTCTGCATTGGCATGTATTTACTGTGTATATATATATTTTTTGTTTGTTTGTTTGTTTTTGAGACATTTTTGCTATTGGGTGCGTGTGCTCGCCAGAAAGACAGAGAGAGATAGAGAAAAAGAGAGAAAGTGAGAAATCACCCCCCAGAGGGGATGGCCACGCCCCAATCCCTTCTCCTCCATTCTCCTCTTGGGATCTTGGGGTGTGCACAGCATGAGTTTAAGCCACCGGGTCCAGGACTCAAGCCATGGTCGACTACATGGGAGTCCAGCAACATAGCCATTACACCAACTGCTGGTCCCTGTATTTACTGTACTTTTAAAAAATAAAAATTGTACCAGTGGATCTTACCAGATCTTTGATGTCCTGTGAAACTGCTTTTGCTTACTCCACTTATTTGAAAAGCGTCTTTGGAATATCTGAGCTCTTCTGGTGCATGATTGGGCCATGGTGTGATCAGTATCCAAGAGAAGTCTTGCAGGGAGTTGGTGAGTTGGCCAAAGCCACCATCTTGTTTTTCTAGATGAGCTGATGTTTCTTGCATCTTTAACTTCTCTCCTTTCTTCTGTCCTGTCCTCCAGGCACAAGAGGAAGAATACCTGTTCATTCTTCAGAAGGACCCAGATCTCTTTCAGTGAGACCTTCAGCTTATGGCAGATCAACCTTCATGAACTTACTCTGCACATGAAGGGGTGGAGGCTGGCCAGCTGGGTGTTGGCCCTGTTTTGCTGGCTGTTTCCTGCTCCACACTGAGTGATTGGCTGTCCCTTGCCCTTTTCTGGTTTTTTTTTTTCACTCCTTAGTTTTTTGTTCTATCTAACCTAGTCACCCCATTTCTGCTACATGCCCATTTCTACAGCTCCTGGACTGCTGTCCATGATGCCATTATACTCCTCCTTTGGAATTCCTCTCCCCACATGGTGGTGTTTTTCTCAGGGCCCACAAGCTATACTGTGGAATAGGTTTGTCTCCTTCTCCAAGGAGAAGACCCAGCAGGCTACTTTCTCATACCTGGTGTATGCCATTGGGTTGAATGTCCTTCCACTTCCGTTAACCCTTTCTGTTGTCAAAATGGACCATGTATACCACCGAGGGCATATTATCTTATAGCAAGTCTGATTTGGTTGGAGGTGGGTGAGCCTAAACTCTGACTTGCAGGAGAACAGGTCCCCTCTCCATGTCCTGTCACTCTCTGGAGGTATCACACTTCAGTGAGGTGATTTGATATCAAATGGAAGACTTGTGGACATGAGTTCACTTCCACCATGGGGGCCACTTTGGTGTCTTGTGTACTGTGTTTCAATAAAAACTCCTTCAAGGTTGCACAATTTTTTCATTCTAAGTCACTGGCCCCAACCACTTGTTCATCCTGAGTATGCCCATGGTCCTTGCCAAGGGCTTATAGTTCCATTTGGCTGCAGCTTCCTTGGGGTTTCCCAGGGAGACCAAGGGAGAACATGCTTGGGGTTGGTTGGTGGGCTTTTTCTTCTAGGTTGGGAGTGAATCCACATTGTCTGTTAGGTAAGAGTGGACCTGATTGCTGATATGACCATTGCCAATATGACCTTCTGCTTAGCCTCTTGCTCCTGCCATCCTTCCATCCAGTATGTCCACTTCCATCATGGGGGTCACTTCCTGCTTCTTGGAGGTTTCTCTTACCTTCCAAGACTCTGAGACCTTGGTTGGAAGAATTAAGAAGCCCAGATCTGGAATTCAGAAGCTCAGCCAAAACCTGGGACCTTGATTGCCCAGCATTCTTACCTTGTTTCCTGTGACCTGAGCCTTGTTCTACTCCTTGCTTCCTGACTTGTCCCTTTGGTTCTCATTCAGTGATGCCCATTTTAAGTCTGGGATTCATGGTCCCACAGTCCTCCTGAAGACTTTAGCCCTGTTGCTGAAACCTTAGTTGCTATGGCTAGGTTCCATTATGAAACCTCTGTACTGCCTGCTGACCAGACTCAGTCATCTGCCTGTTCTGGGACATCCCCCAGACTCCTGTGTTTATGTGTTCTCCAGGTACCTAGGACTTGAGCTTGGGCAGGTCCTGGCTCTCACCTGTGGGGCACTGACAGTGGCAACATTTGAGTCTCTCTGATCTACTTCGCCCCCTTTACTCTCTTCACAGGGGAACAAAACCTGAATATGAGCCTCATTTTCTCTTCTCTTTATTCATAATACAACAAGTAGATTTTCCAGTGGCCAGAGACAATTCAAAATCCTTTCATTTTCTAAAAGAATTAATTGTTCTTAGTGACTAGTTGGATGCACCCAGGGACCTGAGAGAATAATTTGCAAGATCTGTTATTAATCATGAGGATGCATGCTGCATATTATATTTTATGGTATCTTTTATAGCCACTGAAGTAAATATAAATGTCCTTTCTGTTCAAGGTAATGGTTACTTGCTTTTCACTTTGGTGTAACGGTCGGCTTCCTGCTGCCCTGGGATGTAAGATATCAGCATGTTGTCAGTGAGCCCAGCACCCATAACGGTTTCCCGGGGGAAGCAGAGAGGCAAGGTGAGTGGGGGCTACAGGGCAGTTTGACTATTGGAGGGGAGCAGGTTGATGGACTTTCTACATGTATGTATTGGGTGCCTTTTACATGTTTATATGTATATATTGGGTCATCGGAAAAGTCATGATATATTTTTCTATGCAAAAATGTGTCATGACTTTTCTAATGGTCCAATATAAGTGGCCATGCTAGGCTCTAATGTTACATCGTTGAGTTGTCTCATCAGCTCTTTGAGGGAGGAATCCCTACACCCATTTTACAGAGATGGGAACCAAGACTCAGAGAGGTTTAATAATTTGTCTGAGGTCACACAGCTGCTGAACAGTGGCCTCTTGAGTTTTATTCCACAATGCTGGAATAGTCTTATGAAGAAGACTGGGTAACTATTCCACAGTGCTGGCGGTAGGGATTCTACCTGCTCCTGGGGCCACCTTATGGCCTTGACTTGGGTTCAAGTGCCCTGATTTCATAGAAATTCAGATTTTCAGGGTGAGGAGGGAGGGAATGGACCTATAAAGGAGGCAAAAAAGTCTTGGAAGATGCAACTGAATCCTCCTCTGGGCTTAGGATGGACCTGAACCACAGTAATGCTGCAATGCAACCCTGACAACAAACACCCGGAGTGAGTGCAGACTCCGGAGGCGTAAGGGCATATTAGTTCTTTATAAGACTATTTTTCAAGGGGCTGGCACGTGGCCTGGTAGTTAAGGTGCTAGACTCCCACATGGCTGACCATGGTTTGAGTCCTGAACCTGGCAACTTGCTTTCTCCCTTTCCCTTTTCTGTCTGGTCAAATTAGAAAATAACAATAATAAATAAAACTAAAAAACAAACAAACAAACCCCAGTTTATTCTTCATACTGGAGTCCCCAGACCACCTGTATTTCTGCCCAGATGACTGCAAATCAGGGGTTCCCATAATCCCTCATGTTTGATAATTAGCTAGAATGACTCACAGAACTCAGGAAAGCACTCTACTTGTGATTATGGTTTAATGATAGAGAATACATCTAGTGACCAGCAGAAAGCAGAGGTATGTGGGGCAATGCTGGGAGGGTACTGAATGCAGAGCTCCTATGTCCCCTCCCTGTAGAATCAGAGCACTCCATCCTTTCAGCACATTGGTGTGTTCCCCAGGTTTTGGCATCCTGGGTTTTCTTGGGGTTTTGTTCCATAGCTTGGCTGATTAAATCTGGGGCCACATGAGTAAGCCCTGTCTCCAGCCCTCCCCTCTCCCATGGTAGCTCAGGCTCATATTCTCTCCATTCACAGCCACCTAGGTCGTATAAACCTGGATGTGATCCAAAGGGCACACTTTGGATCACATGGGATGTCCCAAGGATTTAGAACAACTAAGACAGAGACAGGAACCAGGGATGAAGACCAGATGCAGTGCCTACTCTGTAACAGACACTCCTCATGTTCTTGCTCTGTGCTAGGCTGAGCTGCACTTTTGTTGAGCAACCATGGGCTGGCCTTCTGTTTGGCCTGGTGCAGCTGTCTCTGGAGTACAGAGACAAAGGCAAAAACTCCTGGTCTTATTCTGAGGTTCAGAGACAGCCCAGGTGAGCTTCTGTCTGGAACCTTGGCCCAATCCTTTCTTTCTCTCTGGTGTGGAACTGGCCATGAAGGTGGTGATTGACCTGGGTCTGGTGCTTTCCAGTAAAATCCTGTGACTTATCCTCTGCAGTGACGGTGTCTGTCGGAAAAGCATCTGCTTACTTGGAGGAATGCTTCTCCTTTAACATCTGGATACCTCTTACTCAGTTTAGGTGTTGTCTTCTTTGATTTAGGCAACAGAACTGTTTTTCCTCCTTCCTCTTCTCAGGTAGAAGGAAATGGAAGTTCACTCTATGGCCCCTTTGGCCTGGATCCTCTCAGATATGTGCTCAGTACTTAGTAATTACAGGTCCTGGCCTGTAGTGAACTACTTGGTTATAAGCATGCAAGCATTTAGAATCCTAGCATGCTTTGTTAATTTCAGAGCTGTTGAAATATGCACATTTAAAAAGCTACATAAGGGAGCTAGCCCCATAGCCTAGTGGTTTAGAAAGCTGGATCCCACATAGTCAGCTGCAGTTTGAATCCCGACCCCAGGAGCTTGAAAGACACACTGAGTGTGTGTACATGTATGTCTAAAATCCTGACAGGGTGGAGAAATGGAAAGAGATTATGGTGTGACCACACCGTCAATGGTGTGAGTGCACATGCCCTATGTATGACAAATAAGAAAAGAAACATTAGAAAGTCTGGAATGGTGGCCCGTGGTATAATGTCTACAAGGCAGACCCACGTGGGAAGGTTGCCAGTTTGTGGCTGGAGAACTTCCTGAGTGAGTGGCACATGTGTGCCCCTGATTCAGGCTTGCTGCGGCTGGGGGTGGTCAGGAGTGCCATTTCTCTCTCTCTCTCATTGATAGAGTAAATAAACTCAGGGGGAAAAAAAAAAGAAAATCTATACGTGCACTCATTCCCCCCGAGGTGCTGTTTCATCTGCACGGCAGGTTAGCTTCTGCAGTATTCCCAGCCCACTTGGCAACCAGAGATGGTGAGTTTCAACAGGAGGGGCTGCCTGGGCTCTCCAGCCCCAGCCTCAGGGCTCCACAAATGCAAGCATCTAACACCATCTCAGAAAACAGCAGTGGCCCCCAGAGGCACCCAAGCAAATCCTTGGGAGCAAGACTTGGCAGGTTTGGAATGACCCTCAGGGCAGGCACCTGTGAGGAGAGTTTTATGGCATCATTGGAGTGACACTGGGGACTGGCGTGGCCAGGAAAGGTATAGCCATGAGGAGCGGGATCCCAGCCGGGGGCTTGTGACTGGCAAGATCTCAAAAGATGGGGTGAAAAGAACCAGAGTGGCGTCTCTCCACCTGCCTGGCCTGTGGGAGTCATGGTACTTGTTGGGCTGCCCTGGGAGGGCCCATACGTAATGAGAGGCCTTGAATGGCAGGTGAGCAGGTGCCATTGCTGCTGGTGACTGTGATTCTGACCAAGAGAAACCAGCGGGGGAGGGTGGTGGTGTCCCACAAGACTTATGTCTGAAAACATTTTGGTAAAGTCAGGTTTGCTAAAGAGCCATTCATTTAAAATGCCTCTGCTCTTCCTCTCTTTCTTCTCTTCCTCCCCCTTTTCTCCTTTTTTCCTTTTCCTTCTTTCTTATTTCCTTGTCTCTCCTCCACCCCTTTCTTCCTGTGAAGCAAAGTGTCTTATGGAGCTCAACAGATTGGCTTGGTTCTCCTTTCCTAAAGGAAGGACAGGATCAGCCCTTGGGCGAGGACATGTTGACCCCTGGGCTGTAGCTGCGATGTCCACTTTCTGTGGTCACTGCCTCCAGCCTGGTTTATGTGGCTCCTGTGGAGGTCACCTAAGTTCCTGCCATCAGCTTGCTCCCTTCCTTGCCAGGTCGCTGTGCCCCTGGCTAGGACTGCTGGAGGCAAAGGAGGCTCTTTCTGTCCAGCTCTGCCATTGGCTGGATTGTTGCAGAGCCCCTTGGGTATTCCTTTCTCTCTCCCAAAGGCAAGAGGCTAGGCTCGGCTCTTAAGACTGGAGAGATGCTGGGAATTAAGCCTCCCTGTCTTCCGGCTACTTTCCCTGCTCGCCCATTCTGAGCAATGCCTCTTAAAACTTTCCTGGGATGACCGGGGATCTTGTTAACAACACAGACTCTGACCCAGGGAGTCTGGGTGGGGCCTGAGCTTTTGTATTTCAAACAAGCTCTTGGGTGATGCTGATCCAGAGGATGCTGGTCCCAGGGACCACCCTTTGAGTGGCAAGGATCTAGAGGGGCGTTCTGAGGGTGTGG